AGTGTTCTCTTTGTGCTCACTGTATAAGACGCAGCTTTTGGAGGCCATGGCGTCTTTGGTAGTATGAGCCTTGAGTCCCATTTAAGCTCTGCTGGTTTGAAAGTGTCTATTTTGCTCACTGTGTCTCTGTGAGAAGGGTTCATGTCAGGATGGCTGTCATTGACTGTGAAGACATTGAAATAAAATGCAAAGCTTTATCAGTAATACATGTAAGGTTACTGCGTGGTTTCAAAGCCACGAGGTATCTGACCTTTGCTCTATATAAAGTATTTTATGACTGTTAGAGTTATAAGTACTACAAGATTGATTGATTACAGTGGGAAAACAAGGGCAATCACATGCAACACAATTTATACCAATGTTGAAAAACCATTCTTGTTTCTCTCTGTTTTCAGACATGATGCAAGTAATTTTACCTGCTTTTAGGCACTGAGACTTTAGGATCAAGCAGCCAGAATCCTTTTCTAAAGAAGTCACAATTTCCGGCATTCCCTCAGCACACTGCATTTGAATAAGGAGTGTTTCAATGTCTTATAAAGACTGTCATCTAGTGTTGATGTAGTGCAATGCAGATAAAGTAAGCCATAATCTTAGTAGAAACTTACAGGTCTGAAGTTATGAGGTTTTGGATCTTTGTACAGCCCCGCTGGATACATCCCTGCACTCACAAACAGCAGTTTTGACTCTAGTGTGTCTGGTGGTTTGTAAAATGTGATAAATGGTTGTGCTTTACATCCCTTTTGCTCAAGTCCAGGCAATATTGAAGGAGTAACATCGTTAATCTTTACCAAAATGAACGATTTTCCGTCCACACTATTGTTTGATTTAACAAGGTGAATGTTTTTGCTCTTGATCCGTGGCAAACTCGAAGATCTGTACAGTTTTGGGGTGAAGTCGGGGGCTTTTATGTTCCATGGATCAATGGGAACTACTGGGTGTGGTGGGATGAGTCCACAACTCCTTCTTGAGATCAAGTTCTGACTCACAGAATAGAGCAGCTTTCTTCTGAGGTCAACAGACATGGGAGTTTCCAAAGACTCAGATTCATTGTGAATCAGCCACATCTTTATGCTCAGAGCAATAATCTGAGACCAAACAATACACAAGTTGTAAATAAAACAAACATTACTGGAGTACAACTTGCAAGAAAATCACCTTTCAGTCATTCTACTTCAAAATTTCACATTTAATTCAGTGTGTTACTTGCATATTCTTTGTACTTATTTGAAAAATTTAATAGCAATTTCTGAGTGAAAATTGTTACTACACCATTTTTTAAGTAATATGTACAATGCATAAAATTGTTACATAATCTTTTCATTAGCAACCTCATAAACTTCATTTCATCTTAATGAAGAATCTATATAAATGGATATTACATATGCAAAAGGCGCAAGATTAGATTTAGGTGATAGAAATGTAACATTATTTTAATAATAAGACATAATACAACATCAAGAATGAAAGAAAGAAAGAATAAATAAATAAACTGAGCAAGACCTATTTCTATCAACAGTACATTTCAAAGGAAATAATTCCTAAAATCAATTTAAATCACTTACCTTTCTTACAGCAGAGTGGCTGTCATTCAGCCATGACAAAGTAGACAGTAAAGAGTTGAAATTGCTGTGTTAGATCAAAAATTTTTTTAAGCCAGCTCAGCATGGAGCAGTGGATACAACAAGGTTGCCAGGCAGCAAGAGTTTCAAGTTCTCATTCAGAGACTCTGCCTGTGGACAGAGCACAGTAGGGACATTGTTGAAGAAACAAAGAGACGTCTTAGCAACCATCAAACTATGAATTAAAGTCAGTTTAAGTATGAAAGACTTTGTGGAACATTTTATATCAAGAAATTCCTATCTTCAGACATATTCAGTTATAAATTAATTAATTACAAATAATCCT